AGCTCCCTGCTGCAGCTCATCCAGGAGCAGGTGAGAGCCCGGGGGGGGAGCGGGGGGGAAGATCCGAGAGGGGGGAGCGTCGTGCCCCGTGCCCCCAAACCGCGCGCGCGTGGTGCCGCTGAGGCCGCGCAGCTCAGCTCACTTGTGGCCTCCCCCGGGATCCCTGAAGGACGGCGGGGTGCTGAGCGCCGGGAGGGTTGGATGGAACCCCCCCAGAACCGACAGCCCCGCTGCGGGCTCGGAGCCCCGTGACCTGATTGCGGGAGCGGCGTTGCTGCGTAGCGCAGGGCAGGATCCGGCCCCGCCGCGGTACCGCTCGGTGCTCCCCGGCCCCGCAACCCGGCACCTCCCGGCGGCCCCGGCGGTGCGTCCCGACCCAACCCGAGCAGAGCCGGCAGCATCGCCGCGGGCTGGGATGGGATTCATCGTGGGGTTCGCGGTGCCCCTCTCGCCCCCCGGCTGCCTCCGTGACCTTGGGCGAGTCCCCCGCTCCCCGCTGGGCACTGCGGTGCCGGGGTCACGCCGGTGCCCCGCAGCCCTTCGGCACGGAGCGGCTCCTCGGTGGGCCACCCCCGGCGTTGTGTGCAGGGAGATGCCTCCGAACCATCAGTGGCTCCCAGTGCTCGGTGTATGAGAAGATGTGTGCTGGGTCCTGGTGTGGCACAGCACGTGGCACGTGTGTGGTGGGGGGACAAGGGGTACCTGGTGCTCCCCGTCTCTGTGTGTTGATGGCTGTTGTGATGTTGTGCACATCCTGCATCCAAACGTGCACCCCGACCCTACTGTACTATCCAAACTGTACACCCAACCCTTCACCTCAAATCTACACCCAATGCTGTGCCAAACCTACAACCAGCCCTACACTTAACCCTACACCCAACCCTGCACCCAACACTGCACCCCAACTCTACACTCAAGCCTGCACCCAACTCCACACCCAAACCTGCATCCAAACCTCCACACAACCCTGCACCCAACCCTACACCCAACCCTTCACCCCAACTCTACAGTCAACCCTGCACCCAACCCTACATCCAAACCTGCACCCATCCCTGCACCCAACTCTGCACCCCAATCCTGTACCCAATCTTACCCCCAATCCTATACCCAACCCTGTGCTCCCACTCTGCACTCAGTGGGAATGGGGTACGAGACACCCAGTAGTGTGGGGTGCCCAAAGGTGTGGGTTACCTGTTGGTCACAGCATGCCCAGTTGCATGGGATATCCATTGGATAAGGGGTTGCCCATTCGGTGTGGTGCACCAGCACAGGTGCTGTGAAGCCTGGAAATGCAGGTGCATGGGAGCTGTGGGGGAGGAGGAGAAGGAGGAGGAGGAGGAGGCTGTGCCAGCAGCACGCGTGTGTTTGGCTTCATGGCTTCCTGGCTGGCAGGCTGCTGGCGGCGGGGAAAAACGGAGTGGGAGAGTGGTGGCTGCGTGGCTCGTCGTGGGGATGGCACAGCTCTGTGAGTGGCACAGCACAGAGCATGGAGGGGCAAGGGGCGTGGGGTGACAGCAATCCGGGTCTCCCAGCTGCTTAGGGATGCAGGTTCCCATGCTGGGATGCAGGTTCCTGTGCCAGGATGCAGCCTGGCCATGTCTGTGCTGTTCTCCCTGCAGCTTGACCCTGAGAACACCGGTTTCATCGGCGTGGAGACGTTTGCCAGCCTCGTGCACAGCCATGAGCTGCCCCTGGATCCTGCCAAGCTGGACATGCTGGTGGCCCTGGCACAGGGCAATGATGAAGGGCAGGTCTGCTATCAGGAGCTGGTAGACCTGGTCAGTGCCAGGGTGACACGGCGATGGGAGCGAGTGGGTGCTACCCTGTGTGGGGTGGGATGGGATGGGACAGGATGGAACGGGATGGAGCGGGATGGAACGGGATGGAACGGGATGGGATGGGATGAGATGGGGTGGGGTGGGATGGGATGGGGTGGAGTGGGCACCGTCCAGTGCAAGCCAGGACCGGGTGCCCGCAGCTGGTTGTGGCGACGGTGGCCACAGGCTCTCTCCACAGATCAGCAGCAAGCGCTCAAGCAGCTTCAAACGTGCCATCGCCAATGGGCAGCGAGCCCTGCCCCGGGATGGGCTCCTCGATGAGACTGGGCTGGGCTTCTACAAGCGTTTCGTTCGCTACGTGGCCTATGAGATCCTGCCCTGTGAGATGGACCGGCGCTGGTACTTCTACCAGCACCGCACGTGTCCCCCTCCTGTCTTCATGGCAGCTGTCACCCTCACCCAGGTGCCTGAACCCAGCTGCTGTGTGGTGCCCTTGGGGTCTTAGACCTAGAGTGGGTTGGGTGATCCTAAATGTGATGCTGCGTTCCCCGTGGGGTCTCAGACCTGTGGTGGAAGGGACAGCTGACCCCATGTGTAATGTTCCCATCCCCACCGGGGACTCATCCCCAGGGTGACCCTGGCTGCGATGCGCCAATGCCCTCAGGATGCCAAGGGGCGAATGGGAGGGATGTCCCCAGTAGTGATGTCCCCCTGCAGGACGGGAGTGTCCCTGCAGTGCTGGGATGCAACGGTCCTGTGCTTTCCCCGCAGATCATCGTGTTCCTGTGCTATGGGGCCCGGCTGAACAAGTGGGTGCTGCAGACCTATCACCCCGAGTATATGAAGAGCCCCCTGGTCTACCACCCCGGGCACCGCGCCCGCGCCTGGCGCTTCCTCACCTACATGTTCATGCACGTGGGGTGAGTCCCTGCTCTCAGCGGGATTCCTCCAACCCATCCCATCCTACATGTCACGGTGTCTCATGGTGTCCCCTACAGGCTGGAGCAGCTAGGGTTCAATGCCCTCCTGCAGCTGATGATCGGGGTGCCCCTGGAGATGGTGCACGGCATCCTGCGCATCAGCTTCCTCTACCTGGCCGGTGTCCTTGCAGGTGGGCACATGCCTGTCTCCCCCCCCATCTCCATCCCTGCTGTCCCTGTGTCCCTGATTAATGGGGAACGTTTGGCAGGGTCTCTCACCGTCTCCATCACGGACATGCGGGCACCTCTGGTTGGAGGCTCAGGTGGGGTGTATGCACTCTGCTCGGCGCATCTCGCCAACGTCGTCATGGTCAGCAGCGGGGGCACCTCGGGGGGTGGGGTTTGGGGGTGGGCATCGTAAGGAGAGCAGCCCTGGGTGGGCACCAGGGGATGGGTATCATGGGGTGAGGTTGCGGGATGGGTTTTTTGAGTTTTGCATCCTGGTGTAAGATCGTGGGGTGGGCATAATGAGGTGGGTATCACTGGGTGGGCACCGTGGAGCGAGAGTGTAGGGTGGATAGCATGGGGTGGGCAGCATAGAGTAGGCATCGTTGTGTGAGATCATGAGGTGGGTGTCGTGGGGTGAAATTGTGGGACAGCACTGTGGGGTTGATGTAATGTGGTTGGTTCTGTGGGATGAAATTGTAGGGTGAGCATCATTGAAATTGTAGGGTGGCATCGTGGTGTGAGATTATCCAGTTCCATCATAGTGTGGGCATCATGGTGTGAGACGGTAGGGTGGTCACCATGGGTTGGGCATCACGGGATGAGACTGTGGAGTGAATACCATGGGATGGGCACCTGGGGTGAGTCTGTAGGGTGGTCTTCATGGGATAGGCATCATGGGGTTAAGACCATTGGGGCGAGAACATGGTTTGGGCATCAAGGGGTTGTGCCACTGGAGGGAGGCACCTTGGGTTGGCACGGCTGGCAAGCAGAGCTCGGGGCACACCGTGGGGACAGGGCTCAGCTCTGCAGGGTGCCCCATGCCCACCCACCCATCCGTCTGCCCTCAGAACTGGGCCGGGATGCGTTGCCCCTACAAACTGCTGCGCATGGTGCTGGCGCTGGTGTGCAGTGAGTACGGGGACAACGGGGAGGGGGGTTGGGGTCAGCAGCTCGGGTGAGGATTCCGACGTCACCGCCGCTGTCCCGCAGTGAGCTCGGAGGTGGGACGCGCCGTGTGGCTCCGCTTCTCGCCGCCGCTGCCAGCCTCGGGTCCGCAGCCCAGCTTCATGGCACACCTGGCGGGGGCCATCGTGGGCATCAGCATGGGGCTGACCATCCTGCGCAGCTACGAGGAGAGCCTGCGGGACCAGTGCGGCTGGTGGGTGGTGCTGCTCTCTTACGGCACCTTCCTGCTCTTCGCCGTCTTCTGGAACATCTTCGCCTACGACCTCCTGGGGGCACAAATCCCACCCCCGCCCTAAGGACCCCCTTCCCTTTACCTTCCCTATAGATGCCCTTTTTCTAGCGATGGCCAAAGGCCCGGCGGAGGGGGGGTCCCCGCGCGGCACATGGGGACGCGCTGCCCCCTCGGTGCTAGCGACCGCGCTGGGCCCCTCCGTGCCCCCCTCTCCCCCCGTGTGAAGGATGCTTCAGCCCTGTCAGCACAGAGCCCCACCCTGGGAATGGCCCCCGCAGCCCCTTCCCGGGCTCCCCGAAAATCTGCCCCCCCCTCCCCCATCCCGGGAATAGCGGGGCCCGACGCGGAGCCATTTATTTTTCTATGCCAAAAGAACCGTCCGCAGGGGGGTGGGGTTGGGAGGGGGAAGCGAAACCCCCGGTGCCCCCCCGGCCCCGCGCTGCTGTCGGTGCCCCCCCTAAAAAGTTGTTTTGGGGTGGGGGAGCTGCCCGCCCACCCCTCCCTTTTTTTTGGAGTAGAAATAAATATTTTGCACACGGCCCCTCCCTGGGGGGTGCTTTGGGGGTGAGGGTTTATTAATTTGGGGTTAATTAAGGATTGCCCGCTGAGTTAATTAGGGCAGCGCTCATGCGAGAAAGAGGGAACCCGGGGATGGGTTACTGGGGCGGAAAACGGGGGCGGGAGGGGGGCAGCGCGCCGGCGGGAACCCAGAACAAGCCCCGCCCCTTTCCCCGCCCACAACGTTCAGGCCACGCCCACCGAGAGGATCGACGCAGTTCATAGACCACGCCCATAATCAATCCACGCCCACTGATCTAACCACGCCCACTACTCTCTCGAGGCCACGCCCCCCAGTCGAAGCCCCGCCCCGGAAGTGGAGGGGCGGGGCGGCGCTGTCGCAGTGCGCGGCCGGAGGCAGCGGAGCCGCCGGCCCCGAACGGCCGGGTCGGGCCGGGCCATGAAGGGGAAGGAGGAACGGGAGCGGGAGGGCGGCGGCGGTGCGGCCGGGCCGGGGGCCGCGGGGCCGGGAGCGGGGGGAGGCAGCCCCGAGAAGAGCCACAGCGCGCAGGAGCACAAGGAGCAGGGCAACCGGCTCTTCGGCGGCCGCAAGTACCCCGAGGCCGCTGCCGCCTATGGCCGCGCCATCGTGAGTGTCTCCCGGGCTTCCCCGTCTTCTCCCACCACCCGGTCGTCCCAAGTCCCGACGTCCCGGTGTTCCCCTATCCCGGGCCCTATCCTCCCCAGCGATGCCCACCTGTCCAGGGCCCTGCCCCCCCCACACCCCAGTGCCCCCCTGCCCAACACCCTGTCGTCCTTCCCCTCCTCCCGGGTGTCCCTCTGTCCGGGGCTGTGTCATTACCTGGTGTCTCCTTGCCCAGGGCCCTGTTCTCTCACCCCCTGGCATCCCCCTGCTCAAGGCTCTGTCTGTCTGCCCCCCCCCCCCGGTGTTCCTTCCCAGAGGTCCCTGTTCTCAGGGCTCCCGGTTGTCTCCTGCCCACTGGTGGCTGTAAGGCTGTGGGGCCAGGTTACCCCCCGCACCTCCCTATGGAGCTACAGCTCCTAGCTTGTCCCTTCCCTGCTGAGCTGGCATTCCAAGGCTGGGTGACAGCATTCTGTTGTCCCACACCCGTCACTTTGTCACCCGGCTGCTCCCCATGGCATCCCCGTGGGCAGGGAGGTGACGTGTGGTTGCCCCGCAGAACCGGAACCCTTTGGTGGCCGTGTATTACACCAACCGGGCGCTGTGCTACCTGAAGATGCAGCAGCACGACAAGGCACTGGCCGACTGCAAGCGGGCCCTGGAGCTGGATGGGCAATCAGTCAAGGCTCACTTCTTCCTGGGGCAGTGCCAGATGGAGATGGAGAACTACGACGAGGCCATCGCCAACCTGCAGAGAGGTGAGCAGCGGCCAGGGGAGGGCCGTCCCCATGGTGTGGCACAGGATTCAGATCTGCTTTGTTCCCCCCTCCTCCCACTGCAGCCTATAACCTCGCCAAGGAGCAGCGGCTGAATTTTGGGGATGACATCCCCAGCGCGCTGCGCATCGCCAAGAAGAAGCGCTGGAACAGCATTGAGGAGAAGCGGATCAACCAAGAGAACGAGCTGCACTCTTACCTGACCAGGCTGATCATGGCTGAGAAGGAAAGGTAACGGCAGCCCTTGTTCCACTTGACTTCCTGAGCTCCGAGGTGGGGGTGATGTGTGTGGGACAGGAGGTGGGAGAAGCCGCGAGCTGCTGGGAGGATCTCAGTGTGCCATGAGGCTGTTGTGGCTCTGAGTGCAGCACCCCACCCTCTGCAGTGTGCAGAGCCCTGGGGCTGGGTCAGCAGCAGTGTCTTGTTGCTGCTGCTGCTGCTCTGTGCTTTCACCAATGCCTCTGTCACAGGGAGCTGGCTGAGTGCCAGAAGGCTCAGCAAGAAGAAAACGTGGATGAGAGCCGGGGCCGTGTTCAGCTGGCTGGCATTGAGGCCAAACACGTGAGTGGCTGTGTGGGCACAATAGGCAGGAGGGAAGCAGGGCTCCCCAAAGCCTCCCTGGTGCTGCTCCCTCCTCTCTTTGGCTCCACGCGAGCTGCTGTCACAGGGTTTTCATCCCCCTCGTGTGTTCTCCTCTCCCCTGTGCTGTTACCCTCCTGTCCCAGCCAGGCAGTGGTGCTGCTGCTCATGCCCTGCCAGCTGCATGCCCGTGATTCCTCGACAGCTGTGTGATGGGAGCAGCTCGTGGCTGCCTGTAGGTCTGCGTGGTGTCCTGGAGCAGGGGACTAATCCTGGGATAAAAATAGCCCTGCAAAGGATGGTTATTTTTAAGCTGGATCATTTTTGCCACGCAGATCAGCCTGGAGGGGTGGGAACCAGAGGCTGTGAAACAAAGAATCTGGCTCTGAACTTGTGGCCGAATCCCTGCCCATGCTGTGGGATTGGTCCCTTCTGTGGGCAATAAGTGCTCAGAGCAGCCACAAAGTGTGGGCTTGCTCCCTGCCTGCAGCTTGTTGACATGGAGCTGCGCCCCCACTCAATAAAGGTTCCTCTTCCAGGACAAGTACCTGGCAGACATGGATGAACTCTTCTCTCAGGTGGATGAGAAGAGGAAGGTGAGTGTACTCCTGCACATGCTCCCTGCTCTCCTCTGGGCAGGACTGCTTGCAGGAACCCGCTTTTGTCCCTGCTGCCAATATGGATTTAAATCTTCCTCTGTCTGAGCTGATGCTCTGCACGGCTGCGTCCTCACCACCACCTCTCAGCCCTTTGTTATTTTTGCTGCTGCAAACCTAACCCAGCTCTGCTTCACTCGAGCCAGAAGCGTGACATCCCTGACTACCTATGCGGGAAGATCAGTTTTGAGCTGATGAGAGAGCCCTGCATCACACCCAGCGGGATCACGTACGACAGGAAGGACATAGAGGAACACCTCCAGGTACTGCAGAGATGTGGGCTCTTCTGCACTGCTGCCTCCTCCCCTGGCAGCACTGGGGAGTTTTGGGCTCAGATGCTGCACCTCACCCTCCTCCCCCCCTTCCATGCTGCTGGCCTGGGGCCAGGCACGCAGTGTAACCGGTTCCTGGCCACCTCCCTTGCAGCGCGTGGGTCATTTCGATCCTGTGACGCGGAGTCCCTTGACCCAGGACCAGCTCATCCCCAACCTTGCCATGAAGGAGGTGATCGATGCCTTCATCTCGGAGAACGGCTGGGTGGAAGATTACTGATGGCCGAGGGGTGATGCTGCTCCCTCTCTTGTGGGCTCACCCCAGCTGCAGGCTGCTCGTGCTGGACTGGCACCATGCCTTACTCCCTGTCTGTCTGTCCCCCTCTGCTCTGGGTGCCCAGAGACCCGTCAGCAGTGCTGAGTTGAGGGTCCATCGCCTTCTCCCCTTCCTGCAGAACTGCAGCAGCTGGGTGGGAGTGTGATGCTGGGGGAGCCCTGGCTGCTGGGGGGGGGGGGGGGGGGGGGGGGGGGGGGGGGGGCAGGAAAGGCCCAACAGTGTTATCATCACTTCGAGGGAAGAGACGGGACCCCTCCATGCTGACAATCTCCAAAGGTCACGCCCCGTGGAGCTGCCTGGGGTGAGTGCTGGTGCTCCCTGCACTGCTCTGGCCACATCCCCTCCCTATGTACATAGGTTTTCTTCCCATTCCATCACCTGTGGGGACAGGGTCATGTCTCGCTGGTTCCTGTAAATAGCCATGTGCTGGGGTGGGAGATGTTTTCTCTGCCTATCCTGCCTTGCTCTGGGGCTTCCAGGAAACCACTGGCCCTAGGCTGGAAGGGGTGGCTGCCTGCATATACCCTCCCCTGCCAGCCCTGGTGCTGGTTTCTGGGACCAGATTCATTTTCCTTCTAATGAAATCCCTTTTGAGAAGAAAAAACAAAACAGAAAACCACCAACCCTGCATTGGACTGAGGCTGCAGTGTGGGGTGGCATCGGCATTGCTGGGTGGTCGGCCTGCAGCCTGCCTGGCTTTTGAGTGCTTTCTGGACAGTTTGCCAATGTCATTAAAACAAAATGAAACAAAAAAACATTCAGCAATAAATGTGGAAAGAGCTCGAGTGCTTCAGGAACCTTTATGCCATGGGCTGGGGAGAGCAGGGTCCACTGTCCAGTTGGAGGGGCAGCTGTCCCAGGCGTGTCATGGGCGCTTGTGCTGATGCATTTGAGCTTTTTTATGCCTAGGTCAACCTGAGCCAATCCTTTGAGGCACCAGGGATGAGACTGGAAGGTGTGTGACTGGGGTGTGGAGATACATAGCAGCCCACTGACTGTGGCTGGGACCTGGGGGCTGTTTGCTCCCATCCCCCTTTTGTTGCCTTGGGCTCAGTGCTGGCCACCCCTGCACCCAGAAAAGGCTGCTCCAGTGTACAGCAAAGGGCAGCAGCAGCCCCCATGCCTGACCCACCCTGCCGGGGCGGGCTGAGGTTCATGGCAGCTGTGGCAACAGGGATGATGTAACACCTGCAGCATTACATCAGTGTGTCAAGTTTAATCCAAGCGGGTGCAAAAAACCCAGTTAAAAACCACAGTTCAGATGCTTGGTCCCAAAACCAGGGTTTGAGGGGTGGCTGTTGGCACTGCCCTGGTCCCAAGCCCACGGGATGCTCTGGGATGATACAGGGATGCTGGTGGCAGTCCTCAGGCACAGTGGGATGTAGGCACTGGCACTACCCCAGGAAAGTGGAGATGAAGACGCTGGTGTCCAGGTTGAGTGTGGCGTGCCACCAGCGGTCAGGGAAATACAGCACCTGCAGGAGAGCACATGAAAAGTGCCTTTTGGGGCTGAGGAGGCAGCCCTCTGCCCTCCTGTACTTTACAGCAGGATGAGGAGGGCATGAAGCTGCTGCAGGACTCACCTCCCCGGGCCGGATGGTGCACTCCAGTGGGCGTTCCTCTGGTGGCAGCGTGGGGTAGGTGTGCTGAAGCCAGGCCAGCGTGGTCTCATTGGGGTGGAAGTGAGGTGTTTTATCGGGTGGGTAGAGGAACCAGCGCTGGAAGGAATGCAGCAAGGAGGCTCAGCCCTCAGTGATCCCTCAATGCACCCCTATTTTCCCTGTGAGCAGTGCTCACCTTCCTGCCAAAGATCACCTCAGAGTAACCGGGGCCGTGCCAGTGGAAGGGAACACCAGAGCCTGAGCCTAAGGGGTGAAACGTGTGCTGTGCCAGCCCTGAGCTGCTCACACCCCACACCCAGCCCAGCACCCACCTGCAATCCCAAAGCTGTAGGCTCCGCTGGTGCCCGGGATTCGGAAAGGTGGTGGCACGTAATGCTGGAACAGGGATCCCCACTCAGTGAAGTTGTTGTCCCCGAAGAAATAAAGGGTGTCTGAAGGAAGGGGAGGGGCACGGAGCCGTGAGGAGCAGTGAGGGATGGGTGCTGGAGCTGTGTGCATACAGGGGCTGTGCTACCCACCGCTGCCCAGTGCTGCTGGGTCCTGTGGCTTCAGGAGCTGCTCCACGTACTCGTGGAAGGGGACATCCACTGCGGGCAGAGGGACAGCTCAGGGAGCTGCGGGGATAGCGGGATGGAGACAAACAGCCCCCTCTGTGCCCTCACCTTTGCGGTAGGAGTACGTGTTGGCCGTGCTGAGCCGCACCAGGCTCTCCCCGTAGGCAGCAAGCAGCTTCTGGCGGGTGCAGAGGGCCTGAAAAGCCTGCAAGCCAAATCATCACCAACCCCGTTGCCGCTGCTCACCTCGCTGCCACCCAACCCTGCGTCCCCGGCACTCACCGAGTTGTCGGTGACCCCGCGGAGGATGACGGGCTGGGAGAAGGCGAACCTGGCAGAGAGCAGCGCGACCGGGGGGGTCCCCAGCGGGCACCGGGAGCTGAGACCCACCCCAGGGCAGCGTGGCTGCCCCTCTCACCCTGCCGTATCTCCCCCCTCCCTCATCCCGGAGCCGCCCGTACCGCTGCAGGAAGATCGCGGGGCTCATGGAGCCGTCGGTTCTCAACACCGTGCACCGCTGCTCCTCCGGCACATCGCCCGCCTGCCTGCAACGGGAGCGCGCTCGGTGCCGGCCCCGGTAGCAGCAGCAGCAGCGGCAGCGCATGCCGCCTTACCGGCCGCCCTTACCAACCGCCTGCATCGCCTGCGAGCCGGGCCCGGGCCCAGGTTAAGGGCAGCAGCACCGCCAACATCCGCCGCGCTGCCGCCATGGCAGCGGCCCCGGGACTACAGCTCCCGGCGTGCACCGCGCCGCATCACGCTACGGCATCCGGCGAGGGACACGCTTTAAAGGCGGCACGCCTTAAAGGGGCCATGCCTTAAAGGGGCTACGGCTGAGCCTATTGGGAGGTGGCCCCCACAGGGTTTAGCGCAACAAGAAGCCGCGCTCAGCTTTGGGTTTAATTCAGTACAAAATGGCTGCCCCCAGAAATAAATACAAAGAGAGGGGTGGGAGGGCTGAAGGCTGCATTGCTGCAGCAGAAGCCTCCCAGCACCGATTCCCCAGCCCCCACAGTCCTGTTGCTCCCGTGCTGCTGTTGGGCTCAGGTGTACTCGCAGAGGTGGCCGCAGCCTGCCGGGCAGTGTGAGCTGGTCTCCAGCCACTTCATGATGTGCTGCAGATGGCCGCCGTGGCTGCAGCCCTGGCACCAGACAAAGAGCCCCTTCACCACGTGGTGGCACACAGCGCACATGCTGGCACACTGCCGACACCTGTGCCGGAGAGAAGGGGTGAGTCAAAAGCCTGATGCTGTGCCCCCCCCTCCTTCTGGTCCCTCTTGCTCCCGAGCCCTCACCTGTCACAGATCCACCCCCTGTTGCTCATGGGCCGCTTGCAGTTGCTGCAGTTGATGTGGAGGGTGGTGGAGGCTTGGTTGAGGCAGTTGATGGCACGGCAAGTGCTCAGCTTGATCACCTCGTTGGAGATGTTCCAGAGCTGGAAGCGCTGCAGCAGGTCGATGTAGGAGGTGTACCAGTGTTCCTGGGAATGAGTGCACACAGCTCAGTGCCAGCTCTCCAACACCATCCCAACCCCAGCACCAAGAGACAGAGCCCCAGCTTATTCCCACATCAGCAAGCTGCTGCACCAGCGCTGGAAAGAACCTTCCAGAAAAGGACTCAGATTAAAAACAGTGAGGAAAAGGCAGAGGGCACCCACTCCAGGGGCTGCAGAGGGGCTTCCTTTGGGTACCTGGGTCTGCTCATCGATCTCCTTGCGGATTCTGTCTCCCAGCACAATGAGCACAGACACAGCTGTCTGCACGTCCCCCTGCTCGGCGTAGAAGAGCAGTGTGTCACGCACAATGGGGTTGAAGAAGTCAGAGGGCAGGCGGTTCTCATAGAGCGAGTGGGAGATGGAGATGAGGGAGAAGGACTCCACGGGTGTCAGGGACACCGTCTCGGCCTCATTGCCGCTGACATGTGGGGAGTCAGCCTTGTCCTGCAGGTGGTCCAGGGCTGATGGGTTGTCCACAATTTCGTGGCGCAGGGGGAAGGCTTCCTGGGGAAGGCTGTACTCCTGCTCTTCTGCTGCAAGGAAAGCCATGGGGAATGAGTACAGATGGACAGGTGAAGATCCAGCTGGATGGACAAAGGACAGGAGCAGCTCTCGCTCACCGTGTGGGTTCTCGTGGTCCATCATATACAGGTCATCTTCATCTGCCTCCACGTCTCCCAGCAGGTAGTCTGCAGGGACATCACTGCCCTCTGTCTCCTCATTGTCTGTGTGCCCAGGAAGAGAGAAATCAGCACATCACCCTTGGCCACGGGGGGATGCACACCCCAAGGATGTGCCCAAGCATCAGCAGACCCCCGTTACAGGATACATGGATAATTTCATCCCTTTATCCCATAGCAGAGCCACCTATGGCTAGGACTGTGCCACCAGTGATGACCTGAGCAACAGCCTCAGGACTTGGACTGTGCCCACCCCATAAACCTTACCCTCGTTGTTGATCAGAGTGGAGGAGGAATCCATGAGGATATTTTCTGTGCGGCTTTCTCCTTTGCTGCGATCCAGCCTTGACTCGCTGCCCAGCCCAGAGGGGATGTCCTTCAGGTTAAAGCTACAAGAGAGGCCACTTGCTTAATTTAAAAGTCACAGCATACAGACTGGCTGTATGTCTGCAGCTGGCATTTCAAAAAGACATGGTAGTTCTTGCTGAGGGCAAAGTCAGCTGTCCCCACTTTATAACTTAAAAACCTCAATCCACCACAATTGTTAGCACAGCCCTTTCTCCCTGTCTGGCATCTCCGTGCACCCATCACAGAGGCGTCTCCCTAAGCAACTTCAGAGCTGAGCAGACACTTGACTCCATTTCTTGATGTTTACATTCAGCTTAGAAGTGGGTAAATAAGAGCTGCCTCTCTGCATGATGCTCTATTTGTTATGCATCGCTGCTCACAGGCTCCACCAGGACAGAAAAGGAACTGAAAGGAGCTGACACAGAGCCACGCTTTCCAGCCTGGATCTGCGGTTTTGAGGTGATGGCAGTGACTTGCCTGGCTGCAGAACTTGGCTGGTGGCAGGTCAGTGTTTGAAGTTATGGAGTCTTTGCTGCTTATCCAGGGAGCCCAGCCCTTTCAGTTCTAAGAACTAATTAGGAGCCCTCACTCCTCACTTTCATATGTCACTTGGAAGAGGAAAAACAAGTTTTCCTGCTTCATCAGCACACAATGAAGTTCCAAACCCCATGAACTACAAACAGAGAGGAGCTGTCCTCTCCCTTCAGAAGACGACGACCTCTCTGACTGCAGCAAGACTGGGGGGATGGGAGGGTTCTGCATCCCCAAATCCCAACGCAGCCAGCTTCATACCCTGTTTCAGACAGAGGAAACAACAGCAGAAGCCCACAAGGCTTGAGGCCAGGCTGGCCCTCTCTTCTCACACCTACATGGGAAACAGCTGCACTCAGATGATACCATCCTACATAGCAGCATGGGACTGAAGCTGGGGTTCTGCTCTGCTGCTTGTGGAGCTGCTCCCTTACCTGTTCATGAGCGGGAGAGTAGTGCTGCCCTTCCCCATGCTGTGATTGAGGTTGGTGGATGACACGGTGCCAAGGCTGGAGTAGATGATCCGGAGCATCGTCCACGTTTGAGCCACCTG